AATAAATGTGGTCTCTCTTCCTACTGACTCTGCGTACATTTACATCAAACATTGAAACGCCATCATATTATGCTAAACGATAGTGAGCGATTAGTAAGTCACAATAGCAATTCAAGCGGTGATTCATAAATATAGAGGATATCAAGAAGGTGCCTAGCAAAATTTCTGCAAAGAAAATGCAGACGTGAAGATATTTGAAAAAATAAGATGACGAATTGAAAGAGATAGGCATGATAACGAGTAAAACCCCACAAAAAATACAACATCAACCCATACAAATATAACAGGTTGCTACGATTTCGGCTATATTAAAGTAATTCGGCTTCATTACAATACAACACATTGGGCCACTTCTTTTGAGATTCGATATTTTCAGCCGTAATGTGCTCGTGAAACTTACTTCTCTGGGATCATATTAGGTGGAGTAAAGTCATCATAATATTATTTTGAAATGATTGTAAGCGAATCTATCATCTCATTTTCACGAAGATATTTAATAGGAGTTAGCGTGTGGAATGCTAGGCAAAATTTCAATCTCCTCATGATTATTTTTTCTGAACAAACACAACTTTTCCTCCTGAATCCCTCCGACTAAGGTACTCAACTAATGATGATTATTACTAAGATAGGAATATTCTGGATGAATATTTACTTTAATTTCCCTAATTTACAGCTGAAGGTAGATTGTAATGGCAGCTTCCTCCGATACTTCTTCCAGTAGAAACCACAGCAGTTCTCGAAATTGTACGTGATCATGTCAAGATGCTCTTCCTCCGTTCTAGAGACTGTTCTCTGGTCGAGACTGCACGATGACGCAGTGCAACGTCACTGTAACCGATTCATAATTCGAGTAACGTATCGTACAGAGTCATATAGCTATCGCTAATCACTAACTCATGAATCAGATTAATGTATGCACATGAATATTTGTTCGCGCTTACTTAAACCGATATCGATTTTATTTGTAAAATGTCTATACAAAACGAATGTTTGATTATCGTTAGAGTATTTGATCACCTCATATTCACAATATTGCTTCTCCATAAATATCCTTTCAACCAATCTCTAAAAACGTTTTCTTTCAGCTTCGATCCTCACCGAGATTCTTGAACTATGACTGCAGCTAGACTAGATTTTTTTGCATGATCACATCGCGACAGTTTAAGAAAGTAGTAATGTGTCTGTTTGTCACCCAATTTTGAAATCACTTATTCTCAATTCAGATTCAGTCGATGCTGCATCCCTTTGTATTTCCCTTTGTATTGTTTCTGCTGATGGCTGCTGGACTTATATTCTTTTGCACTACCTGCATGATCCTATGCGTAGCTTACGGGTAAGTATCATCTTTCTTTTTTTTTGTTTGAGAACGCATCGTTCTCTAAAAATTCAGCCGCAAAGCGCGTTACATGTCAGCGACAAACAGACGAAAACTCTATAGAGGGACCTATTGCTTGCGCAACCATTTTTCGCAATGGTTTTTCTCAGTGGTTTGCCTCAAGCAACGATATTAACTGCTGAAGGAAAGATTCGCTCGGTCGGTTGTTGTTTGGCACAATCCATTTTCGAATGCCAAACATTCCGTTGCAGTGAACATTCAGCCGGAATTGGGCCGAATTTCGGCAACAATTAACTGAATGAAGTTCATTTGGTCAAGCGGCCTCAACCGCTAAACTTTCAGCGGATCAGTCGCATTGGTGCAAATTCACGAGAGCACTCTGTGTTCGAATTCACATTATAAGTTCACTNATTACCATTTTTCTCGGACAACTTATATTCAACGTGAACGCTTCAGAAGATATCACGAACGAAGATATTATCATAGCGGTCCCATAGCAACAGTCCATCCTGTACCGTTCGTAACGCCAGGTTTGTTCTTTTCGAATTCAGCAATTTACCGGCAGTTTTTCCGTTCTACTCGAAATCAGCATCGCTTCAGGATTTTGATTGATTTCACTTCACCAAATAAAACTTTTTAAAAATTAACTCATTCCGAATAGAGATTTCTCTTTTTGCGCTAGCGTTCCATTTCATCCACTGCGATTATTCTGAAGTCAACGATAATGGAAAAAAGTTTCAAATTTGAAATTAAGTGTCAATATGCTGCTTATTGCTGCATCCTTAACCGCTTTCTCTCATTGTTGATAACTTCTGCTTTGGTTGGAAGAAGTTCGTGTGTTCCCAAATTTAACTCAAGTTTCAGGAAGCGCATACCCGGCGTATCCCCCACCGCCACCTAATCCGTCATTATATGAGGCCAGTCAGTCTTCTTCAGCGGTAATCTCGTCTCAGCCCACGATCAATCAACCCAACGCAAACGCCTCAATCTGTGCTGAGCAATTCATTGCTAACACCGATACGTCACCACCCCCGCCCTACTGTAGCGTCGTAAACCCACCCAAATCATCGTCATAACTCGTTATCAATTCTTCACCAATGCACGCAACTAATGCACCTTGCAGTGAGTCGAAAGTGC